TTCAGCGTCCGATAACGATGGGTTATTATGAATATTGTTTTGAAAACTACTGAAGAAGAAAGGCCATGTCTTAATATCCCCATTGAATACCGGAATATCTATTGGCGGCAACCTAATTGAGTCACGTGGGCGTACCTGTATTTCCGGCTTTTCTTCGTTTTGAGATGGAGATTGTAAGTGTTTCGCCGTTCTTTTCACGCGACACAACATATCTTCAAATGCCAGAAGCGGTTGGTAGTTCACTATATATTTCGGGTCGATTTGTAATTCCAAATGATTAATTTGGTCTAATATTCTTTCGTAATCCGTCCGCAAAGAATCCACCGTTTCAATTTCATTCAAAAAAGTTTCCCGCACTGCATCTACATTAATGTTCTTTATGTGATCACTAATACTTTGTATACGTGAAAAAAGTATGTCCCTCTTGGCATAAAGCGTTTTAATTTTGATTTCATTTCCACTAACTGTCATTTTAAATTATTATAATAAAATTATATTAAACACAGTTAATCTCACAACGCTGGATGATGGACATTCGCGCCGTATTACGTCATTAAATTGAACACCTGTTACAGCGAGCCGAGGTGACGCGCGTCGCTCGCTAAACTCAATATATTTTTATCAAAATTGTCGGGTAAGCGTACAAAACGCGTGTGATTACACTGTTTCAATTATTTAAGCGACTAATAAGCTTTAAACTTAAACCAAATACAAACACTATTTAAATGAATAATTCTATTTGTGAGTAACTAACCAAAATTTAAATTTTAACTAAACGAGTACTATTAAAGTGAAGAATTAATTCTATTTGCAAGTAACTAACCAAAGTTTAATTTTAAACGAACACTATTTAAGTCTATTCCATAAATTAGAGTGCATTATCTAAATAATTAATCTAATAATTCGACCAGAAAATGGTTGAACGACTACTAAACACCAGTCCAAATCCTGCCGAAGTGACCATAAAATGGTGGAGCGACGAGCCTAAGGCTACCGAAGTCCAATTCCCCGGTCGAGCCTTAAGCCTATTACGCGAGATATTAACCAAAGCGGACTGTATATGCGAAATGCTTCTTCGTTTACATAAATGGCGACTATAGCACGCGGTACAATGCACTCGCTCTTCCCTAAAAACGGACTATTATTTGCCAAATCTATGAAAGAAATCCTGCTTGATTAGTAGAAAATAAAATTGGAGCGGATTAACTATTAAACACAATTATATCAAGCAGGAACTATTAGGAATGTTCACTCACCGGGGTGTTGCTTCTGTGCGGCGACTTCTGGAAGATACTCTGGGTAGACTCTCTGCCTTTCTTGTCCGATGACGCGTCGGGAGAGAGTGCGGTGCGCGACTATTTCTCACACGAGGTGAGGCGGGTTTCCTGGAGCTCGACTGCTTCAGGCTAAGCGGTTATACTAGCGGTGCGCGTGGGCAAGAGCTCTTTAGGTCACTATTATCCTAGGCGGTGTGGTTCCAACGACGAGCGCGGCGGGAAGAGGCCTGCGCGTCGACCGCGCTTGCCTTTTATTCCTTCGGTTGCGATGATTACGTGTTTCTAGAATCATCTTCTTTCCCCTCCCACCCCACCACCCCGATGTGTCGATAGGTGGGTATGAATGATATCGTTTGGAAAGGGATAAACGATTTGGCAAGCCTACCGTCAAATAAATAAATACGAATGATTTTCCGCGCAACCAAAAACTAATAAAGTAAATGTCGATCTTCATATCTATACTTTAAAAATATAGGACTTGCATGTACCCATTTTAACCCAATTTCACCCCCTTAGGGTTAGGATTTCGTAAAACAGCTTATTCAGGATTTTATTATTGAAAACTTATAACTTTAATGCCGATTTTCGTGTCTCTAACTTCAAAAACGTAGGACTTTCATACAAACTTCCAACTCCCATTTCACTCCCTTAGGGATAGATTTTCTCAAAACCGTTTCTTAACTGATCTCTATGCCATAAAAGGAACCTACCTTACAAACTTCAAGTTTGTATGTTTTATAGTTCCTGAGATATCGTTATAGTCAGTCAGTGAGTGATAGTATATATATATATATATATATATATATATATATATATATATATATATATATATATATATATATATATATATATATATAGATTATAGTGTTAAATATGTATTTCACATGATTTACTGTTTTATTTCAGTCTGATCTGAAAATAGCAGTGACAACATCACGACAGCTACAGTTGATTGGATGGTTAAAAAATATCTTCCCTTCTCATTTTTCGATGACGAAGCTACACAAGTATATTTTTGAGCAATTTGGTGTTTAATAAAAGGTCCACACTTAGAAGGAAGGTCAAAGAACGGTTTGAAGAGCTTCAATTGAATCTTAAGAAACGACTACAACAATTTTCATCTAAAATGTCATTTACCATTGATGGATGGACGTCAATTGCTGGTAGGAGTTACTACGGGGTCACTATTCATTATATAGACAACGAATGGAAGTATCGATCTGTAGTCCTTGATTTTATACCATCACGCGGTCGACATACTGGGGAAGATATTGCAACTATTTTCCACGAATGTTCATTGGAATATGATATAATTGATATAATACAGGGTATCACGGTCGACAACGCAACTGTAAATACCAAATTTATGTATAAATTAGACAAACAGCTGCCACACTTTGATTCAGATAATCAACATTTCCAGTGCTTTGCTCACATTTTGAACCTTGGTATACAAGATTTATTAAAGACCTTAGCATTACACAGTGAAACTGACAATAAGGGACAGGAACAGCAATATGAAGATAATGAAGACGAAACTGAGGAAGATGAAGAATATGCGCCAAATATTGCTGACTCACGTACAGCTATAACAAAATTACTCAGTATTTCCAGTAAAATAAAAAGAAGTGAGATATTGAAGAGGAAGTTTCAGTCTGCTTGTGAAGCAGCTGGCGTGCCATCAAATCTGAACCCCATACTCGACTGTCCAACGAAATGGAATTCCACACATGATATGATTGGATTTGGTTTAAAAGTGAGAACTGGCATTAACATATTGTGCACTTCTGTCACCAAATTGTCAATTTTCAAACCACAGATAGTGAATGGCAAATACTCGAAAAAATACATAAGTTTCTAATAAACTTTAAACTTCTATCAACGAAACTTGGTGGAGAAAAATATGTTACATTACCGCTAGTCATTGTATCATTCAATGTCTTGCTCGATAAAATTGAATCCATGGTAAAACAATTAGATCAGAAACCTAATCGATCCGAAGTGGATGAAAGGCTCATTCTGGGTTTTCAAGCAGCTCGAGACAAAATGCTTAAACATTATAAAAAGAGCAACTGGATTTATTGTACCTCTTTAATTTTAGACCCAAGGCATAAGACTCAGACTTTTGACATGACATTATGGGGGAAGCAAATTAAAACAGAAAGCCTGCGCAAATTGAATGAACTTTATAAAGAATATAAAAGTCTACACTCAGTGAATACATCTCTAGAATCACCAAGAAATGAAAAGAAAGTATGTGAATATGATGACGATGAAGACGTAATAGACTTTGAAAAATTTTATGCATGTCCCTCGACGTCATCTGGATCTGGATCTTTTCATCAAGGCTTAGTTATAGACGAGTTGGAGGAGTACCTAAGTAAAACCAGAGCCGCCAGTTCGGAAGACATTTTAGAGTGGTGGAGGACATCCGACTTTATCGAAGATGGCCCGTGATTTTCTTTCAATACCTGCAACTTCAGTACCTGATGAGAGATTATTTTCTAAAGCATCATTAGTAATTAGAAATACATAGAAATAGGTTAAGTGATGAGTCAGCCAGATGGTTACTTTGTATTAATTCTTGGTCAAAAGAATTAATATAAAGTAACAGTAATGTCAAAGCTGTTGTGTACTGTTATGTAATTTAATTTGTATTGTATTTTATTTTTTTATTTAAATAAATGGTAAATTGTATAACTCTTTTATTCCATTTCATATAAGGGTCTATCAATCTCTTTCTAGACAGATAATGTTAATGTCATTAATTTGTTTTTTATATGTTTTGGCACATGTAAGCTTATTAAATGTAAACGTTTATTAAGAAACAGACTAACTCCCGTGGCCGTGAGACTTGGTAGACAGATCAGTTGGTTAGAGCATCGGCACGGATCGCTTAGGTCGTGGGTTCAAACCCTCACCCGGTATTAGTTGATTTTTCGAATTTCTCATTAAATGTTTAGACATTTATTAATTTGGTTGGTCTTTCTATGGCTATGTTAATTCAAGCTCAAAATTTGCCTACTCTGTTAAGTTGTTCTAAGATCTAAAGTAACGTTTAATAAATAACAATAGGCTAATAGGTAATTGCGAGACTTGCGAGACTCTTGCTGCAAGACCAAGACCAAGAACAAGACTGAGAGCGCAATACCAAGACCAAGAACAAGACCAGGTGTATTGGCGCAAGACCAAGACCAAGACTGGCTAAGTCTCGTCTTGTTCTTGCATTTTGGCAACTCTACTTGTGTGTAATGAATGCAACGATAGTCAATTATTTATAAGTTCCCTTAAATTTAACATTACTAATATATAACATTACTTATAAATTCATTCATTGTAATTTTGCCTACAAGTTTTATTAATTGTAAATAATTGATCACTAATAACAAAATATGTTTACATTTTTTAAACTTATAATTAAGTTTTAGAAATGTGGTATAAAGTGTTGACAACTTTCTAATCAAACACCAACGTTACATCCTACTGATAAAACGATGTGCCTTTTCAACTGATAAATATACATACAAAATTGTAGACAAGCTGACAGGCCGCTTCACGACCAGCGCAAAAAGGTCGGCTCTGCCCTCACAACCCCTTTAAGTGGAAATAAAAAGGTTTTTTTATAATAAAAATTGTTATTTCAGTATAAGGAAATGTAATAAATATTTATATGTATCAATAATTACCGTGCCAACATCGCGTTAACAAGCTCTTAAATTATAGGTGGCGGAGGTGGCAGCACCGGTGGTGGCGGTAGCGGAGGAGGTTTCTCCGAGGTATACGCTGGCGATTCCAGTGTCGAATCCGGCCCTGGTTCCCTTTCGCCACGCACACATCTTGAGCACAGCTAGCGCCGCAGCAAGCGTTCGGAAAGGACGTAAATCATATCGGATAGGTACTAGGTTATTATGAAATATCATGCGGAAACGAGTACTCATTAGGAAATTTCTTTAATATAGGATCTCTATTTGGTGATCTATGCTCTTTAAAATTTAGCTCAATTATGGTATTTAATTAGATATTTTGAATCAGTACATACTTCATATTTATTATGAATAAATAAAAAGTTACCTCAATCATTTGTTTTATAAAGTTTTTTTTTAATATTTTAACCATTTAACACTGCCACATAACTAAATGTATATTTAAAAAATTAAAATTAAAATTTCATGAGTGTCAGTAATTGCGTTATGAATAAATAAATTTTAAACCATTTTTGTTTACTATGCACACATATCATTTCTAAGAGCTTTATTGCTGATTAATAGAAATTAAATTCCCCTAATACTAGAGTGTGGATGCACATTCGAGTATGTACTTGACATACATATAACTTGGACAAAGACTTACACTAAATTAAAATGAGAGACGAAAATACAATACTCACTGATAAAGTATTTGAAATACCCTTACATGTTTGAAATAATATATCAGTTGTCATTAATAAAATGGTCGAATCACACATAATTGTATAACTGACGCTAACATTAATAACTAGCTGATACCCGCTTGCTTCGCTAGGCACAGGATAATATTTTAACCTTTGGAACCTAGATGTAAAATATCAAGAATTTTTTTGTTAGGACTATTTTCAAATTTTCAAATCCGTATATATATATATACTTGACTGTATAAATCTGACTGCATAAAATAAAATAAAGTCGTGTGATTTCGCGTCACCAAACTGCTGTAATAACAGTAATTGAAGTTATGTTGACCACTTGAAAAGTTTATTTTGTGTATACTGTGCATGGTTTTAATTGTGTTTTCGATAACCATTATTGAAATCGATTAATTGTAAAATCAGTGTGCAGTTCAATAGTGAGTACTTAATATACTTAGGTATATTAGGTAGAAAAATAAATGACAAAAACGAAGTATTAATTGTCGAATATTTCCAACATTGTTATTGATATTTGCGTTGAAAAAGTTTTCACTTCTGACGTGCACGTCACTTGCGACTTATGAACATATGACTGACAGTTTTTTTTTTTGTAAACGCGTCTTTAATATGGACATTCAGATTCAGAATCAGTATACATTTTTGAAACCAATATTTATACTAACACAAATACTTATCTATAAGAATTCACTGTTTGACTGCCATTTTGTAATAATAATAATAATAATAGACTAGATGGTTTGTACATCATACTCAAATCATACTAACAAATAGCCGTAAACTATATTACATTTTCTATTAAATATGTATATGGTACTGCTAAATATTTTATCAGGATTTTAACACTGTCGTATTATATTGCCAATAGTATAGATGTAAAAATAAATAAGCACAATACAGTAAAGTTTCTTTATCGGAGATGAAATTTGTGAACAGGACAATGCATCATAGCAGATCTGTAACTCTATGAAAGTGCTTAGAAAACATGTAAATATATTTCTAGTTAGACTGACTTTTTAATTGGATAAGAGCTTAAAAATGTAAATACGTACTAAATAGATACCATCAAAGGTCTAGTCAATTTTTATTAAATGTTTCTTGACAATATAATTGTAATATGTATATAATATGTGGTTCTATGTGTATATAATTTATTTAATATATGTTATTTATCGCTCATTGTTGTTTATTTTCTAAAGAAAGATTTGATATCAATTCACAATCAACTATAAAACATGAAACCGCTACAAGCAAATTGAATGCAAGGACCTTACGATAGCCACTATATTTGTCAATATAATAAATGTACTCGTAAATTTTACGAACATGAAAATTCAAGTTCGAAGCTGTTTAGCGATACTTACACCTGATCGCTATACATGGTTTTCCGTGTTCATTAGATGAGTGAGTTAAGAGCACATTTCTATTTCCACTACGAATAAGACAAGCTTTTTCAAATACCGTATAAGTTGAAGAGCCGATTTTTAATGAACAAATAAAATAATGTATACTTGATGACCTTTTTTACCATCTAGAAAAAAAAATAGCATGTAACATGTAAAAGGAGTAGAAGCCTATGGCACTGACATTTTACAAAAAATAAGAACCAAAGTTTTAAATTAAATTAATTTATTAATTAAAATCTATTGAAATTCAAATCATATCTACCCTACTTTACGAACGGCAATAAAACTATAAATTTAGTAGGCATCTTTGACCTTGTCACTTCGCGAGGTCACAGGCTCAAGGGCGAAAGGCAAAGTAATTGTTCAAAAAAATTTTTCAAACGTTTAATTCAAAATTTTTGTTTTTATTATTTGTAAAATATCAGTGCCATAGGCTTCTACTCCGTTCACATGTTACATCCTATTTTTTGGCAGACGGTAAACAAGGTCGTCCAGTATATAACTCCCACTCCTGGAATTAGGCTTTCTGTCGTACCTGAGAGAATTTTAGGACAATGAAATGTCCACCGCGCTGTCCCAATGCTAGTCGGCGAACTTCACATGTCTTCGAAACTATGATTTCAATATCTTACATAGATTTTATGTGATAATTGAAAAATAAGTGACTTTTACAGCCTATCAAAAGTCCTCTGCTGAATATAGGCTTCCCTCATAGGTAGAAAAATCATCCTAAATCATCTCAACAATAGCGCCACCTACCGAGTTCAATTGTAAATTTAAACTATCCAGGGCTCAAATGCACACAAAAAAATCATCCTAAATCATCTCAACAATAGCGCCACCTACCGAGTTCAATTATAAATTTAAACTATCCAGGGCTCAAATGCACACAAAAAAATCATCCTAAATCATCTCAACAATAGCGCCACCTACCGAGTTCAATTGTAAATTTAAACTATCCAGGGCTCAAATGCACACAAAAAAATCATCCTAAATCATCTCAACAATAGCGCCACCTACCGAGTTCAATTGTAAATTTAAACTATCCAGGGCTCAAATGCACACAAAAAAATTCGTCAAAATCCGTTGCGTTTAAAAGATCTGAGCGTACAGACGGCGGGAAGCGACTTTGTTTTATATTATGTAGAAATATTACTCTTCTGTCGCTATAACTAACTGTGTGGTATCAAATACCGACCCAGACGACGAACTCCAAATCCGCTATGAGTTCGGATTGCGCTGACGCAGTAGTAATTTCTTCACTTCGGAAATAACTACTGCGCTAACGCATTTCTGAGGAATTATTCGGACTAATTCCATCCGCACATTTTTTATTCAATATAGATTATAAATAATAGTTATTAAAAGTCACTTTTTTAATTTACCACTGGTTCTAAAAAAACTTCTGTCCTGGGAAGAACCAGCATAAAACCCAGCGGGATTTTTTTTTAAATAACAGCTTTACAATCAAGTATGTTACATTTAACTACATGTAACAAACTAGCTTACCAGGCAGACGTTGTTCTGCCCTTTTCGACGATCCTTTGTCATGTCCTAATATAAATTCTTTTACCACTGGTTCTAAAAAAACTTCTGTCCTGGGAAGAACCAGCATAAAACCCAGCGGGATTTTTTTTAAATAACAGCTTTACAATCAAGTATGTTACATTTAACAACATGTAACAAACTAGCTTACCAGGCAGACGTTGTTCTGCCCTTTTCGACGATCCTTTGTCATGTCCTAATATAAATTCTTTTACCATTGGTTCTAAAAAAACTTCTGTCCTGGGAAGAACCAGCATAAAACCCAGCGGGATTTTTTTTAAATAACATCTTTACAATCAAGTATGTTACATTTAACAACATGTAACAAACTAGCTTACCAGGCAGACGTTGTTCTGCCCTTTTCGACGACCCTTTGTTATGTCCTAATATAAATTCTAGAATTCGCAAAAATAAATTGTGGGTCATTCATGGGCAAAAAAACTATCATATCTCTCAACTTGAACCAAACTGCACACGGTGTGCAAATTTGATTAAAATCGGTTAAGTAGTAGTAGTTTGTTTAGGAGTCCATGGTGGACAAACAACGTGACACGTAATTTATATATATTAAGATTAGAAATAGCTTAGTAGCGATTAACCTTCCCAGGGGTTATTATCGTCCATAAATTCCTTACTATTATAATAACCCTTTTTATACAAACTTAGTTATTATAAACTGTCATTACGAACTCACCTACCAAGCGAGGCAACTACGGAAAATATCCCCCCCTACTACGCAATCTAAGGAGGCCTATGTTCAGTAGACTCTTACAGCCCTATTAATAAACACAGACTTGATCGAGATTAACTTTACTCCTAGTTTAAAGCTTAAAATATCTAATTTCAGTATTAATAAACACAGAGTAAGGAGGGAGTAAACTAATCCGAATCTACTCTCAGAATAAAAGTTAATCCTTGGCGGTACCTAGTTTAACGACTGAGTAAGCATAGACTAGTCGCGTATTTTGACATTTTGTAAAAGTTTACGTTGTTGAGTTCATAAGTTGTAAGCCCTAGTAACAAAAACAGCATAATGGATTAAAATGCCAAGAAGTGATGTGGAGCAGAACAAAGTGATTGCAGGTGTTTATTCATTATATGGATTTAGACAAGTGATTGGGGTTATTGATTTCCACATATTCTAATCCCGAAAGTTGCTGGAAACATCGAACAATACTACATAAACAGGAAAGAATACAGTTCAATAAATGTACAAGTAAGTTTTATAGCACCTAGCTAGCCCATCTCTGCCATATACGTACTTAGTTATTTTCTTAAATTCAATACAATCACCTCAATCTATTATTACATATTAAAGAAGTTATGAGTGCTTTGTTCCAGGTTGTGTCAAATGCAAATTTAGAGTTCATGAATACAGTGGCACATTGGTAAGGCAGCACACATGACTCAAGAATACTTAATGAAAGTCGCATTAAAACAAACTTTTAAGCAGTCAGAATTTAAAGGCAGACTTCTCGGAGTTTCTGGTTATGCTTGT